AGCAACTTGTCAAGTTGTTCTTTAGTATTGATTAAAATAAATAGTTAATCTTTTGGTACATTAGCATCAAATTGTCAGTAGCAGGACTTGGAAATTGTGCAAATGAATATAAACTGAAGCTGTGCTGTAAATAATGGATGCATTGACGGATTAAGTCGTCACGTAGCTAATTTGGAAGAAAACGTATTAATCTAACAGTAGCTACCTGAGTCATCATGGACTACTTTATAAACACAGTATATGAGGAGCGGGAAATAGATACGTCATGATTATGACTTTTCTCTCCTAATATTACGACTTTATTCACGTAAAATTATGACTTTAATCTCGTAATATTATGACTTTATTCACGTAAAATTATGACTTTAATCTCGTAATATTATGACTTTATTCACGTAAAATTATGACTTTAATCTCGTAATATTACAACTTTACTCCCGTAATATTATGCTTGTTGAACAGTAAATTCTGTCCTTTTTTTTTTTTGGATGGCCTCCCTTCTCCCCTTATAGCCATCCTCTCCACACCATTATGTTTTTTTCTTTTTGGATGGCCTCCCTTCTCCCCTTATAGCCATCCTCTCCACACCATTATGTTTTTTTATTATTTTTTTGTGAAGCGAAAATAGAGAGAGAGAAAAACAGAGAAAGAAGTAATTAGGAAGATAGAAAGACTGAAATAGCGATTAGGATTATATTAAATATACACCAACAAAACACAGGACCACACACCCAACATCTGTCCGCTCACCTGAAAAATAAATGGATAAATACATGGAGGGCATATATAAAAATACACACACACACCCATACATATACAGTACATACATGCCTACATTCATAAATATTGTCCGTATATACACATAGACATATACACACTCAGTGACCAGTCAGAACCCCCTGGATCAGAGCACCTGTTTGTGAGCAGTTGTGAACATGTGTGTATATACAAGATTTCTCCAATGGAATATTTAATAGTGACTGCGGAGGACCGGAGACCCAACCCCCAAGACACGAGGCTGACACAGGAGAGACCAGAGCCCAAGGACCCGGGAGGGACCCAGAACGCAGAGCCCCCAGGGGTACCTGCACAGGAAGATCCGCCCACCCACCCCCCAGATCAGACCAGGGCAGAACGGGGAGAGCCCCACCAGTGACCACACGCAGTAAACCCCTGGGGCCAGTAGCGACAAACTCATGGGCCCCGCCGGCACTCGCAGCGCCAGAGCAGATCCAGACATGGGCACAGAGGCCCGGGCCCCCAG